TATTCCAGCGTCTGCCCGGGTCTCTGGCGCATCCAGCACATCCCAAAACTGCCAAAACCAAACCCAGATGCGCGGCACAGCAAAATCAGGGACCTCCCGGGGGGCTGGAGGTCCCCCCCTGCACTCCAGCAGGGTCATGGCCGCCCGGAGCACTGCGGGACAAAGGGGAGATAGGGATGGGGCCAAAGCTCAACCCTTGACCCAAATCCTGACTCTGGGCCCTAAACTGGGAACCATGGAGTTCATCATCCTCCACCCATGTGAGTCCTGCCCCATTTTTGAAGCATGCCATGTAAATTTGGGCACTCTTGACCAATCAGGTGTCCCATTCCCATCTCCCCTTTGTCCCGCAGGGCTCCGGGTGGCCGTGACCTTGCTGGAGTGCAGGGGGGGACTCCAGCCCCCTGGGGGGTCCCTGCGCCTCCTCTGCCGAGGGTCCGGGTTCAGTTTTGGCAGTTCCACCATGCTCTGGATCTGCCAGAGACTCCGACAGGCGCTGGAGTGGCTCGCAGGGATCACCAGTGGTGGCACCACTGCCTACGCGCCGTCTGTCAAGGGCCGGTTCACGATCTCCAGGGACCACGGGCAGAGCTCGGTGACGCTGACCATGAACAACCTCAAGGTCGAGGATTCCGGATCCTATTTCTGCGCCAATCTCTTGATGATGGTACTGGCTGGGAGACTGTTGCCTATCGTGTTGACCCCATGTCCTTTAGCAGGGTCCACAGAGATTGCGAGAGCTCCATGCAGGATTGAGACGTAACAGCTGGAACTGCTCAGTCATGATGGAACAGCAAAATGATCTCCTGTCTTCTGCCTCTCACACTAGAGCTTCTCTCTGTAACCCCATTGGTGACTTCTCCCTGACCCTCGCTGTTGGACACGTTTGGATCCCCTTGTACCCTATAAAATGGGCTGGTTTAGCCCATCTGACAGGAGAAGAGCTGTCACTGCAACCCCTCACAGATCCCTCAATGAACCATGGCTGTGGAACTACTAGGACCTCTCCTGCTCCTCTCTGTCCGTCTGTTTCTGTCCCAGCCAAAGGCACCCCAGCGAATGAGCAAAGAGCTGGAATCCTGAGAGCTGAGAATCACGAAAGAGCTGAAATCCTGAGAGAGTTGATAATCACGAAAGAGCAGAAATCACTAAATAGCTGAAATCCTGAGGGAGCTGAGAATCACTAAAGAGCTGAAATCACTGAGCTTGCTGAGATGGTGGCATCTCTGAGCTGATTGGGTTTTGGGGCACTCTGTCTCCAAGATTTATCCAGATTGGCCTGCATGGCTCGGGGATCAGCCCAAATCAGATATCTGGGTCTTATCAGGGTTGGGACAAGGGGACAGGAACGGGGTCAGGGCTTGGGGTTTGTGGGAAGGGCCAGGGGAATGGGGACAGGAGGGGAGCAAGGGCACGGGGTCAGGGACAAAATGATAAGCATCAGCAAAGGCCCAATTATCACCATAAGTGCGTTTGGCACAGAAATAAACAGCGGAATCCTCGTCCTTGAGGTTGTTCATGGTCAGCGTCACCGAGCTCTGCCCGTTGTCCCTGGAGACCGTGAACCGGCCCTTGAATGATGGCGTGTACTCGGTGTAAGCACCATCGTACCTGATCCCCGCGACCCATTCCAGCCCCTGCCCGGCCCTCTGTCGAGCCCATTCCATTTCAAAACTGCGGAAACTGAACCCGGACTCTCGGCAGAGGAGGAGCAGGGACCCCCCGGGGGGCTGGAGGGCCCCCCCCGCACTCCAGCAGGGTTACGGCCGCCCGGAGCCCTGAGGGACAAAGGAGTGATGGGGATGGGAAACCTGATTGACTGAGGGCCTCAAAGTAGATGTGTCAAACTGGAAAATCGGGCAGGACCCACCTTAGAGGGGCAGCTGGAGCAGGACAACTAGGATGGGGTGGTCCAAAGGGTCCAGTTTCAGGCCCAGAGTCAGGGTTTGGGTCAAGGGTTGAGCTTTGACCTCATCCCCATCTCCCCGTTGTCCCACAGGGCTCCGGGCAGCTGTGACCCTGCTGGAGTGCGGGGGGGATCTCCAGCCCCTCGGGGGGTCCCTGCGCCTCCTCTGCCGAGGGTCAGTTCAGTTTCGGAAGCTACGACATGTTCTCGGTGCGCCAGAGACCCATGCAGGGCTTGGAATGGCTCGCGTGGATCAGGAATGATGGTGGCAACTCCGGCTACGCGGATTCAGTGAACGGCAGGGTCACGATCTCCAGGGACAACGGGCAGAGCTCGGTGACGCTGACCATGAATAACCTCAAGGACGAGGATTCCTCCGTTTATTTTTGCGGAAAATCTGCTGGTACTGGTGATGGTGGTGCTGTTGCTAATTAAGATGGTTATGATGGTTGTGTCCCCATCCCCGTGGCCCCCCCTGTCCCCGTTGCCCAGACCCTTCCCCCAAACCCCCAGCTCACACCCAGCCCTTGACCATTGATCCCAACCTTGCTCTGCCTCGGCCCCAGTTCTCACCCGCTGACCCAAAACTACAACTCCTGACCCCAAATCTCCTCTATGTGCCCCAAAACTTTGCTCTGAAGTTTAGGGTTTGAGGCCCAGGGCCCTGATTTGGATCAGAATTGGGGATTTTTGTGAGTGGTGGCTGCTCGGGGCCAGCAGCGCAGATTTGGGCAGAGCTGGGCGAGTTCAGCCCAGGGATCCTGGCAGAGGGGCCGGGGCGAGCCAAGAAGCCAAAATGGCCCCGAGTAGGCCCGGAGCTGAGGTGTGGGGCCAGGAGCTGCGAATGTGGGGCAGAGCCAGGGCAGGGTTGGGGCACGGGGAAAGGAATGGGGTCAGGGGCTGGGTTTTGGTGGAAGGGTCACTGTGGAGACAGTTGGTCAAAACCATGGCGGTGGGAACACTGACGGTGCTGCTCCCAATAGCAGCAGCACTCTCAGAACCGTAACTACTACTGGCACGTTTTGTGCAGAAATAAACGGCGGAATCCTCGTCCTTGAGGTTGTTCATGGTCAGCATCACCGAGTTCTGCCCATTGTCCGTGGAGATCGTGAACCGGCCCTTGACCGACGGCGCGTAGCCGGTGCCGCCACCACTGCTGCTGATGCTGGCAATGTATTCCAGTGTCTGCCTGGGTCTCTGACGTTTCCAGATCATTCCAAAATTCCCGAAATCAAATCCAGATGCGCGGCACAGCAAAGTCAGGGACCCCCCAGGGGGCTGGAGGTCCCCTCCGCACTCCAGCAGGGTCACGGCCGCCCGGAGCCCTGCAGGACAAAGGGGAGATGGGGATGAGGCCAAAGCTCAACCCTTGACCCAAATCCTGACTCTGGGCCCGAAATTGGGACCCATGGAGCTCATCATCCTCCTCACAGGTGGATCCTGCTCCTTTTTCTAGCTGGCCTTGCCCACTTTGAGGCCCTCAGCCAATCAGGTTTCTCATCCCCATCTCCCCTTTTGTCCCGCAGGGCTCTGGGCGGCCTGTGACCCTGCTGGAGTGCGGGGGGGACCTCCAGCCCCCCGGGGGGTCCCTGTGCGTCCTCTGCCCAGGGTCTGGGTTCAGTTTTGGGAGCTACGACATGCTCTGGGTGCGCCAGAGACCCGGGCAGGGGCTGGAGTGGCTCGCGGGGATCAGCACTGGTGGCAGCACATGCTATGCGCCATCGGTCAAGGGCCGGGTCACGATCTCCAGGGACAACGGGCAGAGCTCGGTGACGCTGTCCATGAACAACCTCAAGGATGAGGATTCCGGATCCTATTTCTGTGCCAAACATGCTTAGAGTGGTTACACTTATGGTTCTGCTGCTTGTATTGACAATTCCGGCAGTGGTCCCGCCCTCCAATATGGTAAACAGATGTCTCCATTCCCAGTGATCCTTCCTCCAGAGCCCAGCTTTTCTCTTCAAATGCTCAATATTTTCCCCTAAACTTGGCCCCTGCTGCCCCAACTCTCGGCTTTCTCACAATTTTGCCCATTTCATGCAAATATCTCCAGGTTTCCGAAGCCCTCATTGGAGGAGGCCTGACCTGGAGCCCAGGGGGGAAGGTTTGGGGCCAATGGTTGAGTTTTGGGGCAGGAGCAGAGGAGGGTTTGGGGTCAGTGCTGATCATTGGGGCAAAATGGGAGCAAAGGGTGAAGATCTGACGTTTGGGGGGCAGGTCTCAGATTGGGGGCAGGGGGGGACACTGAGAGGGGGGTGGATCCACAACTGTCATCTTCACTGTAAGCACCAGGACTACAACAACCACTAGTAGCACGTTTGGCACAGAAATAGGATCCGGAATCCTCGTCCTTGAGGTTGTTCATGGTCAGCGTCACCGAGCTCTGCCCTTTGTCCCTGGAGATCGTGACCCGGCCCTTGACCGATGGCGCATAGCATGTGCTGCCACCAGTGCTGATCCCCGCGAGCCACTCCAGCCCCTGCCCGGGTCTCTGACGGACCCAGCTCATGGGCTGACACCCGAAATCGAACCCAGAGGTGCAGCACTGCACAGTCAGGGCCCCCCCGGGGGGCTGGAGGCCCCCCCCGCACTCCAGCAGGGTCACGGCCACACGGAGCCCTGCGGGACAAAGGGGAGATGATTAAAAATGAGAAATATGATTGCTCCAGAAGGGGAAAGGGGTGTGGCTGTTGGAAAAATGGGCGGGGCCCACCTGGGAGGGGCATCAGCAGCTGCACGGCCAGGAGCTCCAGGGAACTCGAGGCAGTGGCCGTGTTGTGCTGGGGTTGGGGTCCCGGTGGATTTTGGCGGTCATTAATGAGTTTTAAATTGCACCATCAGTGGAGAAGAATCAGGAGGAGGTTTCCAATTACTAACAAGTGGATAGGGGAGAATTGTATGATTTGAGGCAACTTATTATACAGGAGATCTCTGGTAGAGATTTGGGAGCAAACCAGGGGAGTTTGGCAATAACCAGGATGGTTTGGGGATGGGCTCCGGGCGGCCGTGACTCTGCTCGAGTGCGGGGGTACCTCCAGCCCCCTGGGGGGTCCCTGCGCCTCCTCTGCTGAGGGTCCGGGTTCAGTTTCGGGGCTCACTCCATCACCTGGACCCGCCAGAGGCGCGGGCAGGTGCTGGAAAGGCTGGCGCTGATCGACGCTAGCGGTGCCCACACCTGGTATGCGCCATCAGTGCAGGGCCAGTTCAGGATCTCCAGCGACAATGGGCAGAGCTCGGTGACGCTGACCATGAACAACCTCAAGGATGGGGGTTCCGGATCCTATTTCTGCGGGAAAGCTGCCTATGATACTTCGGGTGCTGCTGCTGATGGTATTGACCCCATCCCCATGGCTGTGTCCCCACCTGTCCCGGTTCCCCAGACCCTTCTCCCAAACTCTGCTATGACCCCATTTCTGATCCCATCTCCCAACCCCGTCCTGGCTCTGCCCCAAATTCTCCACTCTCGATCACAAAGTTGACCGAAATCTTAACCCATGACCAGAAGTATCCACTTTCAGAATCAAGTTTTGGGGCACAAAGAGGAGATTTGGGGTCAGGAGTTGTGGTTTGGGGTCAGCGGGTGAGAATTGGGGCGGAGGCAGAGCATAGTTGGGATCAATGGCCAAAGGCTGGGTGTGGGCGGGGGGTTTGGGGGAAGGGTCTGGGCAACGGGGACGGGGGGGTCACGAGGAGATGGGGACATCATGAGCACCGTCAATATAATCAGCAGGAGCAGCACCACCACCACCAGGACACATAGAAATAAACGGCAGAATCATCGTCCTTGAGGTTGTTCATGGTCAGTGTCACTGAACTCGGCCCGTTGTCCCTGGAGATCGTCAACCGGCCCTTGACCGATGGCACATACTCGGTGTAACCTCCACTGTCACTGATCCTTGCGACAAATTCCAGCCCCTGCCAGGGTCTCTGGTGCATCCAGCCCATCCCAAAACTCCCGAAATCGAACCTGGACCCTCGGCACAGCAACGTCAGTGGAGGTTCCCCCCGCACTCCAGCAGGGTCACGGCCGCTTGGAGCCCATCTCCAAATCTTCACCAATTTCACTCATAACTCCCCTCGTTCGGTCCCAAATCTCCAGCAGATTTTTTGGTTATCCTGAGGTTCCTCAAAAGCTGGAATTAAACAATCTCATTAATTAATTGGGCACCTTCTCCTCAGGGTTCCACATTGATTTCAAACGCAATACCACGTTAAGAACCTGCAAACCCCCCTGGGACCCCAACTCCAGCAAATCCCGGCCTTGGCCTTGAGCTCCCTCCGGCTCCTGTCCCTGCTGCTCCTGCTGCCCCTCCCAGGTGGGCTCCGCCCCTTTTTTCTGGAGCACGCACACCTTTTCCCCATCTAGACTAATCATATTTCTCATTTTTAATCATCTCCCCTTTGTCCCGAAGGGCTCCGGGCGGCCGTGACCCTGCTGGAGTGCGGGGGGGACCTCCAGCCCCCGGGGGGTCCCTGCCCCTCCTCTGCCGAGGGTCAGGGTTCAGTTTCAGGAATGTGAACATGTACTGGATCCGCCAGAGACCCGGGCAGGGGCTGGAGTTCGTGGCAGAGATCAGCTATGATCTTTCCAGAACCCACTATGCACCATTGGTGAAGGGCCGGGTCACGATCTCCAGGGACAACGGGCAGAGCTCGGTGATGCTGACCATGAACAACCTCAAGGACGAGGATTCCGGATCCTATTTCTGCACAAAAACTGTTGGTGCTGGTTTGGGTGCTGCTGTTTCACCCCATCCCCGTCACTGTATCCCCACCTGTCCCCATTCCCCAGACCCTTGCCCAGCTCCCAGCCCCGGACCCAGCCCGTGACCATTTCTCCATTTCCCTTTCCCCTCTCCAGCCCCAAACCCCAACCCTTGGCCATTGACATTCCCCCAAACTCTGCCCCAAAAGTCAGCGCTGGGCCCGGGGCTGGGGACAGGAATTCAGCCACCAAGAGCGGGGACGAGGGCTGGTATCCGGGGGGAGGGTCTGGGGTTTCAGGACAATTAGGGATGCAACAAAGGGGGCGGGGCTAAATGCTCCATAACCAGCACCAGCAGCGTCACTACGATCATCAACAACAGCATTATAACTCTCAGGAGTTTTGGCACAGAAATAGGATCCGGAATCCTCGACCTTGAGGTTGTTCATGGTCAGCGTCACCGAGCTCTGCCCGTTGTCCCTGGAGATGCTGACTCAGCCGCTGAACGATGACGAGTATCTGGTGTCTCCATCATAGTCAATCCCTGCAATGTATTCCAGGCCCTGCCCAGGCCGCTGTCGGATCCACATCAGACTGGTTCATCCGAAACTGAACCCGGACCCTTGGCAGAGGAGGCGCAGGGACCCCCCCGGGGGGCTGGAGGTCCCCCCCGCACTCCAGCAGGGTCACGGCCGCCCGGAGCCCTGCGAGACAAAAGAGAGATGATGGAAATCGAAAGTCTGATTGGTCTAGGGCTTTTAAGTGGGCGTGGCCATCTGAACAAAGGGGTAAAACACTACTGGGAGGATGATGAACTACAAGGATCCCAATTTGGGGCCCAGAGTCAGGATTTGGGTCAATGTTGAGCTTTGCCCTCATCCCCATCTCCCCTCTGTCCTGCAGGGCTCCAGGCGGCCGTGAACCTGCTGGAGTGCGGGGGGGATTTCCAGCCCCCTGGGGGTCCCTGATATTACTGTGCCGAGGGTCCGGGCTCGATTTTGGGAGTTATGGAATGTTCTGGATCCGTCAGAGACCCGGGCAGGGTTTGGAATACGTCGCAGGGATCTACAACCCTGGTGGCACCACCTACTACAATCCATCGGTCAAGGGCCGCTTCAGGATCTCCTGGGACAACGGGCAGAGCTCAGTGACGCTGACCATGAACAACCTCAAGGACGAGGATTCCGCCACCTATTTCTGTGCCAAGAGTGCTGGTGCTGTTTGAGCTGAAAGTGCTCATCCTATTGATGATGGCCTTGCTGTCCCCATCCCCATCTGTGTGTCCCCCCTGTCCCCGTTTCCCAGACCCTTCCCCCAAACCCCCAGCCCACACCCAGCCCTTGACCATCGATCCCAACCTTGCTCTGCCTCGGCCCCAGTTCTCACCCGTTGACCCCAAACCACAACTCCTGACCCAAATCTTCACTTTGTGCCCCAAAACCTTGTTATAAAAGTGGATACTTCAAGCCAAGGGTTAAGGTTTGAGTCAACTTTGTGGTAAGGTGCAGAGAGCGGATTTCAGGCCGAACCACTCCAAGATTAGGACATGGGGACAGGAATGGGGTCCAGGCTTGGGGTTTTGGGGAAGGGTCCAGAGAATAGAGATAGGTGGGGACCGGGGAACAGGAACACGGCCAAATGCAACTGAAACATTAGAGTGACCAATACCTGCAGCAGCACCCCAACCAGCACTACCAACAACACTTCTGCCACAGAAATAGGATGCGGAATCCTCATCCTTGAGGTTGTTCATGGTCAGCGTCACCGAGCTCTGCCCGTTGTCCCTGGAGATCCTGAACCGGCCCTTGACGGAATCCGCGTACTCGGTGCTGCCACCATCGTTGCTGATACTCGTGAGCCACTCCAGCCCCTTCCCAGGTCTCTGGCGATACCAGCTCATGTGGAAACCACCGAAACTGAACCCGGACTCTCGGCACAGCCATGTCAGGGACCCCCCGGGGGGCTGGAGGTCCCCCCCGCACTCCAGCAGGGTCACGGCCGCCCGGAGCCCTGCGAGACAAAGGGGAGATGGGCATGAGGCCAAAGCTCAACCCTTGACCCATATCCTGACCCTTGGCCCCAAACTGGGACCCTTGGAGTTCATCACTGTCATCCCAGCAGAGTCCTGCATCTTTGTCCATCTGGCCACGCCTGCTTTGAGTCCCTCGACCAATCAGGTTTCTCATCCCCATCTCCCCTTTGTCCCGCAGGGCTCCGGGGGGCCGTGACCCTGCTGGAGTGTGGGGGGGACCGCCAGCCCCCCGGGGGGTCCCTGCGCCTCCTCTTCCGCACCTCTGGGTTTGATTTCGAAAAATTTGCAATGCTGTGGATCCATCAGTGACCTGGGCAGGGGCTGGATGTGGTGGCGGGGATCAGCAGACGAAGTGGAAGCATCTTTTACGCGGATTCGGTCAAGGGCCGGTTCACATTGACGAGCGACAACGGGCAGAGCTCGGTGACGCTGACCGTGAACAACCTCAAGGACGAGGATTCCGGATCCTATTTCTTTGCCAAAACCAGTACTGATGGTTGTTGTAATGCTGCTGCTCATCTTGATTAAACTGATCTAATCACTGCGTCCCTTTCTGCATCGCCACGCCCCAGACCCTTCCCCCAAACCCCATTCCTGTCCCTCTGTCCCAGCCCTGCTCTGGCTCTGCCCCAAATGTCCCCTCTGAGCCACACTCAGTGCCCTTGCTTCCCAAATGTCACCGAAATGTCTGGATTTGAGCCCAAAGTTAAGATCAGGGATCAAGAATTCAAATTTTAGCCCAAAATTCCCAATGTGAGTCCAGCCGGGCCAGATTTGGGTCTGTGGCTGACTCGGTGCCCGCAGGGCAGATTTGGGTTGAAACTGGACAAGTCTGGGGGCAGTGGTCGGGTTTGGAGGGACGAGGCTGAGCTCAGGGTGAAACCGGCCCTGATTTGGGGACAGGAACTGAGATTTGGGGGCAGGAGCTGAGATTTGGGGCCAAGAGTTGAGATTTGGGGCCAGAGCAGGGCAGAGCTGGGACACGGGGACAGGAATGGGGTCAGGGATTTGGGTTTGGGGAAAGAATCTGGAAAATGGGGACAAGTGGGGAAAAACCCATGCGGATGGGGACAAAAGGATTTGCAGCAAAAGCCCAAACCGCATATTTGGCACAGAAATAGGATCCGGAGTCCTCGTCCTTGAGGCTGTTCATGGTCAGCGTCACCGAGTTCTGCCCGTTGTCCCTGGAGCTCCTGAACCGGCCCTGCACTGAATCTGTGTACCTGGTGCTTGAACCATCACTGTTGATGCTGGCGATGAATTCCAGCGCCTGCCCGGGTCTCTGGCGCACCCAGAACATTGCAAAATCCCCAAACTGAACTCGGACCCTCGGCACAGAAACGTCAGGGACCCCCTGGGGGGCTGGAGGTGCCCCCCGCACTCCTGCAGGGTCACAGCCACCCGGAGCCCTGCGGGACAAAGGGGAGATGGGGATGAGGCTAAAGCTCAACCCTTGACCCAAATCCTGACCCTTGGCCCCAAACTGGGACCCTGGGAGTTCATCATCCTCATCCCAGGTTGGTCCTGCCCCATTTTCCAGCAGGCCACACCAGCTTTAAGTCCCTCGACCAATCAGGTTTCCCATCCCCATCTTCCCTTTGTCCCGCCGGGCTCCGGGCCACCGTGACCCTGCTGGAGTCGGGGGGGGGACCGCCAGCCCCCCGGGGGGTCCCTGCGCCTCCTATGCCGAGGGTCCGGGTTCCATTTCGGGGATTTTGGGATGGGCTGGCATCGCCAGAGACCCGGGCAGGGTTTGGAGCTTTTGGCGAGTGTCACCAGTGATGTCGCCACTCCCAGATACGCGTCATCATTCAAGGTCCGGTTCACGATCTCCAGGGACAACAGGCAGAGCTCGGTGACGCTGAACATGAACAGCCTCAAGGACGAGGATTCCGGATCCTATTTCTGTGCCAAATCTGCTGGTGCTGGTTGGGCTCCTGCTGCGCATCCTTTTGTCCCCATCCGCATTGCTGTTTTCCCACTTGTCCCCATTTTCCAGATTCTTTGCCCAAACCCCAGCTCCTGACCCCATTCCTGTCTCCGTGTCCCAGCTCTGCCCTGCTCTGGCCCCAAATCTCAGCTCCTGGCCCCAAATCTCAGCTCTTGGCCCCAAATCTCAGCTCCTGGCCCCAAATCAGGGCCGGTTTCACTCTGAGCTGAGCCTCGGCTCTCCAATTCCAACCACTGCCCCCAGACTTGTCCAGTTTTACCCCAAATCTCCCCTGCAGGTACTGATTCACAGCCACCGACCCAAATCTGCGCCGTCGGCCTCACATGGGGAATTTTGGGCTAAAATTTGAATTCTTGATCCCTGATTTAAACTTTGGGCCCAAATCCAGGCATTTCGGTGACATTTTGGGATCGAGGGCGCTGAGTGTGGCCCAGAGGGGACATTGGGGGCAGAGCCAGAGCAGGGCTGGGACAGAGAGTGAGGAGTGGCGTCAGGGGTTGGGGTATGGGGGAAGGGTGTGGGGAACGGGGAAAAGGCCAAAAGGATAGACTGGAGCAGCACACTAATTACTGGCACCAGCAAATATGGCACAGAAATAGGATCCGGAATCCTCATCCTTGAGGTTGTTCATGGTCAGCGTCACTGATCTCTGCCAGTTGTCCCTGGAGATCCTGAACCTGCCCCTGAACGATGGCGCGTACCAGGTGCCTCCACCGGTGTTTATCCCCGCGACCCACTCCAGCCCCTGCCCGGGTCTGTGGCGCACCCAGTTCATGTCGTAGCTCCCGAAAGTGAACCCGGACGCTCAGCAGAGGAGGCACAGGGACCCCCCGGGGGCCTGGAGGTGCGCCCGGCACTCCAGCAGGGTCACGACCGCCCAGAGCCCTGCGGGACAAAGGGGAGATGGGGATGGGAAACCTGATTGGCTGAGGGCCTCAAAGTGGCTTGTGTAAAACTGGAAAATCGGGTGGGACCCAGCTTAGAGGGGCAGCCGGAGCAGGACAACTAGGATGGGGTGGTCCAAAGGTCCAAGTTTCGGGCCCAGAGTCAGGGTTTGGGTCAAGGGTTCAGCTTTGGCCTCATCCCCATCTCCCCTTTTTCCCGCAGGGCTCCGGGTGGCCGTGACCCTGCTGGAGTGCGGGGGGGACCTCCAGCCTCCCGGGGGGTCCCTGACGTTGCTGTGCCAAGGGTCCTGGTTCAGTTTCGGAAGTTTTGGGATGGGCTGGTATGAACAGACACCAAGGAATGCACAGGAGTACGTTGCAGAGATCAACACTGGTGGCAGTGACTGGTACGCGCCGTCGATCAAAGGCCGGCTCACGATCTCCAGGGACCACGGGCAGAGCTCGGTGACGCTGACCATGAACAACCTCAAGGACGAGGATTCCGGATCCTATTTCTGTGCCAAATGTTACACCAGTGGCTGTGGTAATGGCGCTTATGCTTATGGTGTTGATGGTGGTTGTGGTCCCAAGCCCTCTCCTCTCTCTTCCCAAATAACTCAGAATTCTCTGATCCTTCCCCAAAATCCCCACCCCTGTTTCTCAAATCTTGACCACTTTCCCCCAAACTCGACCGTCACTTCCCCAATTCCCAATTTCCCCCCAGTTTTGCCAATTTCTCCCCAATCTCCCTCAGTTCCCCTCCGTCCCAGTGTGGCACGGGGATCGCTCCTGGGCCCTTTGCACACAAAGCTTTTTGTGCAGCCTGCGCTCTGCCGCTGCGCCCCGAGGTTGAGCTGCCCTCTGCAAAACACAGATGTTCAAAGTGACCAAAACCAGGAACTTTCTGTTTCTTTTCCTGCCCCGGCCGGGCCCTGGCACCTGCCGGGGAGGAAGTGGGGGGAGGCTGCGAAGCCCCAAAATCGCGGCGTCTTCTCCTCCCTCCCTTTGTCCCTCGCTCCCATCTGGGGCTTCACTTCTCCCTCAGCGGCCTCGGTGTCTGGTGCTGCTCCTTGGGGCTGGGCTGGAATCCTGTCTCTGGAGAAAATCCCCTTTTTTTTACCCAAATTACACATGAAATTTTGGGGAAATTGAATTTTTCAAATTGATCTCGAGCCAGGGGCTCCATGATCAGAGAAGCAGAGGGGTGCAAGGGTGGAGTCACCTGGAACGTTCCATCCGTGGAGGGCAGGGTCAGAATGGCAAAGAAGAGCTCAGGAGCCAAAATGGCCCCGAGTGGGCCGCGAGCTGAGGTGTGGTGCCAGGAGCTGAGAATGCGGGGCAGAGCCAGGGCAGGGTTGGGGCACGGGGACAGGAATTGGGTCAGCGGCTGGGGTTTGAGAAAGGGTCTGGGACAAGTGAGGGCATGTGGTGATACAGCCATGGGGGCGGGCCCAATAGCATAGGCATCATTATCAGGAGCAGTTGCACCAGAACCCTTGGCACAGAAATGGGATCCGGAATCCTCGTCCTTGAGGTTGTTCATGGTCAGCGTCACCGAGCTCTGCCCGTTGTCCCTGGAGATCCTGAACCGGCCCTTGACCGATGGCGCGTAGTCGGTGTAAGCGCCACTGCTGATCCCTGCAAGCCATTCCAGCACCTGCCCGGGTCTCTGGCGCACCCAGTGCTTGCCAAAACCCCCAAAACAGAACCCGAACCATCGGCAGAGGAGGCGCAGGGACCCCCCGGGGGGCTAGAGGTCCCCCCCGCACTCCAGCAGGGTCACGGCCGCCCGGAGCCCTGCGGGACAAAGGGGAGATGGGGATGAGAAACCTGATTGGTCCAGGGCTTCAAAGTGTGTTTGGCCAGTTGGAAAAGAGTCGGGACCCACACTGGAGAAGGATGAGAAGGCCCAGGGGTCAGAATTTGGGGCCAATAATCAGAATTTCGGTCAAGGGTTGAGATTTGGCCCCATCCCCATCTCCCCTTTGTCCCGCAGGGCTCCGGGCGGCCGTGACACTGCTGGAGTGCGGGGGGCACCTCCAGCCCCCCGGGGGGGTCCCTGCGCCTCCTCTTCCGAGGGTCCAGGTTCAGTTTCGGCAGTTTTGGGATGGGCTGGTATCGACAGACACCAAAGAATG